GGGACCCTTCCATTCTTTGGCTTTAATGGTGCTCACAGTACCTGAGAAAACTGCAGCCTCGTGGGTGCAGAGTCGGGAACCAGTGGGTGCTGAAGCAGTTGTCTTGATTTGTGATCAGGGTTTCTTTGAGATGGGTTCCCTAGTAGGGAATCTAAGCTCTGTTTCCTAGTGTCTTTTTGAGAGGATTCTTGAGTTCCTCTTAGAAGCTCTAGAGGAGCGCTGTGCTGATGTGGTTGACTTGCTCAGAGACTGGGCACAGGTCAGAAGCCATTCGGAGGTGCAATTTAATCTCCTGGTTCTTTCTGTCTCTCAATTTTACAACCAGGCAAAAATTACATTGGGGGGAGGGGGGGGAGGGAGGCGCGTGGGACTCCCCGCGGCAGCAGACACACCAGGAGTGCCCGGCACTCAGCGGGAGAGCATTCTGGCATGAAAGGCAATGTTTAAAACCCGGAGAGCCGGGCATACCTCCCAGCACTCTAAAGTTCCCCTCAGGGAAAAAACTGAAAGGACAACGGGCTTTACAACAAATCTTGTGGTTTGTGTAATGATTTAACCTCTGAAGCTAACTAAGCGAAGTATCAGAGGGGTAGCCGTGTTAGTCTGAATCTGTAAAAAAGCAACAGAGGGTCCTGTGGCACCTTTAAGACTAACAGAAGTATTGGAGCATAAGCTTTCGTGGGTAAATGCCCACTTTGTCAGACGCTGGCACAGAGGAGACTTGCGTCTGATGAAGTGGGCATTCACCCACGAAAGCTTATGCTCCAATACTTCTGTTAGTCTTAAAGGTGCCACAGGACCCTCTGTTGCTTTTAACTAAGCAAAGTAAAACTAGGAGAAAACAAAACAAAACAAAAAAGGACAGTTGAGCTCAGCTCAGCCGGGTCACTGCTGAGGCTCAGTCTCGGCCCGAGAAGGAACTGAGGGCGGTTCGCCCGTGGAGCTCTATGTGGCCATGGTGCAGAGCACGAGGCAGAGTAGAGGACATGGGCAGACCCAACAGGCACAGCTACCTAACGTGGGGATCTCCAATCTAAGGCGCACAGGACGCGCGCACACCTGAAGTGGCGCACCCCTTGGGACACTACGCAAGAAGAAGGTATAGCTGCTTGTGGTGCCCAAGGACGTCAGCTGAGGAATCTTGGACCAAGGTGAAACGTCTCGTGAATGTGTAGCTGGAACTCCATGTAGCTCACCTGCAAATAGCAAGGGGCACCTCTTGAGGTGACGCTGCTGAGGCTGCTTGCGACCCTGCAGAGGGAGCCCTTACTCCCAGCTGTGCCAGCTGATAACGGGATACAGCCGGAGATCCACTTCGATATTCTCAGAGGACACAGCTCGTACTCATTCTGCTATGGCAGCAGGAAGTCTAGATGGCTTTCTGTTCCAGTCTGTTCTCGGAAGATACAATGCCAGGGCTCATCTCACGTCAACCAAAGTCTCCTTTTTTTGCTAGATGCATGCGGCTTTGGGAAAGACACAGGTAAGTGAACTGACAGGTTTATATGAAATCCTGAAACTACCTTAGGAATGAATTTTGGTGTAGTTGTAGCGAGATTTTGTCCTTATAGACTACTGTGTAAGGTGGGTGTGATGCTCTGTACCTTGGGGAAACACCCAGCACCCCCATGTTCATCCTTATAATACGATTGTGTGGCATCCAATGCAAAGTCTGTCATGTCAGGTGTCTTCGGAAGGCTCATGATGCACTGAGCATTGTTATATGTAATGTTATAGGTTGTAATTTCATGTATATAGTTATGAGGCTGAAAATGTTTTCCTCATGGCTTAGAACAAGTCCAGGCAAAAACGCTCCAGGAACAGAGGCCCAGGCAAAACTCTCCAAGAGCAAAGAGGTAGTTCACACCTCATCAAGGCAGGTATGGGACAAACCCAGCCCAGCCTCACAGGAACAAAGGACGCTGGCCTAGGCAGCAACAAATGATCTGTTGGACTCTCGAGTGAGTCACCCCCCTTCCTTTGGTCAGTTTGGGACTGCGGTGAGGTAATGCTCACCTGACCCTGAAGGGTGGGGGGCAAAGCCAAGAGGGCAGAAAGGACATGATAAAAGGGAGAGCCGTTTGCCATGCTCTCTCTCTTCCACCTACATCTACAGACACCACACCAAGCGACTGAAGTGCTGATCAAAGGGGAGAGCCTGGCTGAAGGGCAACCAGCCAGCCTGGGGTGAGAAGCATCTAAGTTTGTAAGGATACTGAAAGTGTTAAGATCAGCTTAGAATGCGTTTTGCTTTTATTTCATTTGACCAAATCTGACTTCTTGTGCTTTGACTTATAATCACTTAAAATCTATATTTTGTAGTTAATAAATTTGTTTGTCTAGTCTACCTGAAGCAGTGGATTTGGTCTGAAGCATGTCAGAGATTCCCCTTGGGATAACAAGCTTGGTACATATCAATTTCTTTGTTAAACTGATGAACTCATATAAGCTTGCAGCAGCCAGTGGGTATAACTGGACACTGCAAGATGGAGGTTCCTAGGATTGTGTCTGGGACCGGACATATTGGCTAGTGTCATTCGGTTGCACAATCCAAACAGCGGCTGGCCAAAAGTGCTCACTCACATAACTGGGAGCAGCTTACATGTCAGAGGTTGTGCATGAACAGCCCAGGAGTGGGGGTTCTCACAGCAGAGCAGGGTGAGGCTGGCTCCCAGAGTTGAGGACTGGAGTGACCTAGCAGCTCACTGGTCCAGATAACGCCAGGAGAACGTCACAGTGGGTTCTGATGGCAGGAATGGAACTCCTCTGCATACGTTCTACCGCTCTATCCACCAATTTAGAGACAGAAGCACTTGTGCGGTACGCAAACCCACATGCCCAGGGAATGTCGGTTTGGGGGATATACTGAATGAAATCAGGTTTGCAGACATCTCAAGTAAAGCATGGCATGTACGTGCAGGAGGCCATGTGTCCCAAGAGCTGCAGACTCTCACACACTGTTGTTTGCAGAGTGGACGTGAGACTCTCAGCTGTAGAGTCTATATCCTGGAACCTGTCCATTGGAAGGTAAGCCATGGCAGACGTGTTGTCAAGGCCCACCCCATGAAATGTGTTCTCTGTCGAGGCTGTAAAATTGATTTTTCTATGTCCAGTTTTGGACCTAGACCAGAGAACAGACAGCTGATAACAAGAAGGCTGTTATGGATACGTGACCTCGATCTTCTGGAACTAGCCAATCATCCAGGTAAGGAAATATCTGAATTCCAAGATGGCGCGGATGGGTCACAACCACCTTTGTGCGCTTTGTGAATCCCCACACGGCTGAGGCTAGACCAGGGGCAGGACCATATCCTGGCAGTGCATACTGTGTACTATGAATTGAGAAAAAGCTTCCTGTGGTCCGGCTGTATTGCCACGTGGAAGTTGGTATGCTGCCCTCAACCTGCAGCATGCCTCTCTCCAGGCAAGGGAAACAGAAGCAAGGGTGGTCATCCTGAACTTCATTTTCTTGACAAATCTGTTGAACACTCTGAAATCCAGAATGGGTCAAAGACCCGCCTCTCTTTTTGGGAATCCAGAAGCAGCAGGAATAGAAACCTCTCCTTCCGTGCAATTAAGGAACTTCCTCTTGCTCCCAATCATAACAAGGACAGTACTCACACTCCCGGAGAGAAAGTCAGCACGGAGAGAAACATCTGGACACCAGTCGAGCCACCAATAGCAGCTGCCTGGATGTCAAAGGAAATCGGAGCAAGAAATGCCTCCCAAAGGACTAAGTGAGCAGATCCCAAGTTTCCCCCAGCTAAGACTCAAAGAGCCGTACCTTAGACACCCCTCTCTGCTCCTGGCCCAGCAACCCTTGCCTCCAGGATCTCTCCACCAGGAACTCCCACAGAAATAGTGCAGAAACTAAAATAGCTCTCCACAAATCTAGCCATGCCATACTTCCTTGGACAACAGGGACGCAGGCAGGCGTTTGATAATTCTGTAGATGGGGAGGAGGGGGAGGGGAAGGGGTCCCCACAGGCCATCAGTCATTTCTGGAAGAGGAAGGAAAGCCCAGTTCTGAAAAGATGTTCATGTTGAGACAAGCCTTCCATTGGGATCCTGACCCTGACTCCTCCCTCTTTGCCAATCAGAAGCCAACCCACCTTGGTTTTGCCTGCTGAGGGCTTTGTCCAAGGGTGGAATGGAGGAAACTGGGCAGAGGGGGTGTCTGAGAATTGGGGGCTCATGTTCGTAACATAGGGACACTCTAGCCACGTACTGTTTGGATTGATGTGCCCTGCGGGAGAGGAGCTGTTTTCATTTCTGCACAGGGAGTGCCATCGTTCTCTCGTGGTTGGTTTCTGGTTTGGGTTGGAAGGGGATTAGATGCACAGAGCGACAGGAACGGAGGCCGGGGAGCGCAAAGGGAGGAGGGCACGGAGGGCAGCACAAAGAGCGTGAGGGAGGGCAGGGGAGCAAACAGCCAGTCAGCACAGGGGAGGATTCATTCATTCAAAGGCAACAGGTTTCTCCTGGGTAGCTCTCGGCCCCACCACTCTCCAAGACAGGGAGGGGGGGAAAAGGCGGTGGCCTAGAAACAAAGCGCGTTCCCTGACACATCTGCTCAGGGCGGACTAGACATGGCCCCACGCCCAGTGGTGACCTCACCCACCTTGGCAATGACCTCCGGAGAGGAGATGATGGAGCGGATGAAGTCCGTGGTGGGCTGCGCAGGGCAGTCAGGGATGGGACAGGTGCAGTTCTGAACCAGGTTCTGCTCGATGCAAGTCGTCAGATATTTATTCCAGCAGAACTGGGGAGGGGGAACAAGATCAGATCTAGAGAGTACATCTCGTGCCCACCCCAGGGCACAGACCCGCCTGGTGAGCCCCCTCCCTTCGTCAGGGGCCGGCTCCCAGCTTGACAAACTCAGGAATTTGCCTTGCAGGCGGAGTGGCACCAGAATCATCCCAGTTTTCAGGTGTGGCAACGAGCCCAGGAAGCCAGGGAAAGAGGGGTGACGGTGTGCCCCTGGGACCCTCCCCTGACAGCTGTGTCCTTCCCCCTGGGAGCAGGGCCCTCCCCTCTGTCATAGACGCTGCCAGCCCCCAGGCCCCTCACCTTGCAGCAGTAGTGCATGCAGCAGAGGGTGGGAGGGCTGTCGTCTGTGCACAGCTGGCTCACACACACTGGACAGTGGGTGACGGGACTCGGGGGTGGCTGGGGGTTCTGCACTTGCAGCCCTGAGGAAATCAGCAGCAGCTCGGGGTCCTCAGTGTAGCGCTCGATCAGCAGGTCCACGTTCCACTTGCAGTGAATGAGCAGATGCTGGGCTCTATCAGCTGAGACACTCAGGGTGTCCAGGACCTGCTTCACCGTCTGGTTCATGAGCACCTGCACCTCCTCCTGACTCATGGTGCGCCCCATAGGCAGCAGCAGGGTCTCCATCAGGACCGCCTCCGGACCGACTCCATGGGCATCCAGCCTGGCAGAGAGCAAACGCCCGTCACCCGTCTGGAGAGCTCCCGGTGACGCCCTCCTCCAGCCCCGCCTGAGACGCTCCCCTACCTGAACGGGGAGAACTTGCTGCCCTTGTCCTGCCCCCTCAGGCACTCTGTGCTACGGAAAATGACCTGGGCCTGGCCCCGGTGAGGTGTCGTGGGCTCCGTGGAGACGTACTCCAGCAGCTGGGGGTTGTCCTCCTGGCGCCGCACGTAGCCCTGGCTCAGCAGGTGCAGGGTGCAGGACAGCACGTCCGTGCTGCTGCAGCAGAAGCTGAGGAACTTCAGGGCAGGGCCAGACTCCCATTTCTGACAGGCGTCGATCACCTGGGGGGAGAGGGCAGTTACTCTGAGGCTGCCGGGGCGCGGAGCTGCACGGCCGCTCGCCTGCCAGGCCCCCGTACCTTGAACACCAGGTTATCAATGTGCAGCTCCTTCTCCCCTTTCAGGATCTGGATGATGAGGCAGCAG